AAAAAAAAAAAAAAAAAAAAAAAAAAAAAAAAAAAAAAAAAAACCACAAAAAAAAAAACACCCACAACAGGACTAAAGGATTATTTATTTGTTTTCCCCCTTAAGCAAACTTTCAGCATTAATTGCTGAAGAACTTAAAAATACCCTCAGTGATTAAATAGGAAAGGAACAAAAAAATGCTACCTTTTCCTGAGGAGTTGTTTCCATGATGCTGAGAGTGTCTAACTATGGCACAAGCTAGTGAAATCTAGGAATAACGAAGACACTCAAGGCATTCCCACGGCGTGGAGAATCAGCAGATATTTAGGCCTTTGCAGCTTTGTGAAGCTGGCAGCAGAGAGGCAGCACTCCCTGGGTCTGAAAACACACCATCTTTATGGGATAAGTTCATCTGGGACTTTGTTGATGGGGCTGATCCATATCCCTGGCTTCGCTTAGAGCTTCTCAGACCACTTTGGAAACCTCAAATTCATCCAGTGCCGCCAGTGAGGGACACAAGTGCACTCCCAAAAGCAGTTTATATTCCGTGCCGTGGCAGGCAGCAGGCTGCAAATGGAAGTTCTACATTTCACACTTTATTTCTTGTCTGGGGGAGGAAGGATGAGAAGGGAGGCTTTACCAGCAAGCAGCTGCAAAACAGAAGTTGTTGGCTGCTGTCTCCTGCATCTTATTTTTAATCACAACAGCACTACCAAAAAAAAAAAAAAAAATCACTCCTTAACTACCAACCCACAAGCCCATTTCGTAGCCCTGTGCAGGAGCCAGAGGTGAGATTTGGGTTCATCGTCACATTTATATGTCAATATACATTTCAAAGGGTTTGTTATCAAAATATCACTTACTGAACCTGATCCTTCTGCCAGTAACATCCCTGAATTCCATGTGTCTGCCTCTGTAAAAGAGGGATTCAGTCTGCTGTCTTCACTAGGATGATGTGTGGTTTGTTTACACCAGAGCACTCCAAGAGAATGCCCAAAGGTAACTTTGAAATCTGACATAAAATAGAAAGAGAAACCAGCTCTGCACTTCAAAAGGGGAGTTTGTTCTGTGGTGCAGGATCTGTCATAAATATTGCAGCAGCATCTGGCACTTCAAATTAACAGGATGGAAGTTATCAAAGCCAACATGTCAAAGGAGCAGGTACCAGAGCAGGAATCCTGTGCCACCCTGAGCATCTGGATTGTATGGCATCACCTTACTCTGCTCAGAACCTCAGAGCCTTTTTTTTGAGTCTTCCAAACTCCTGACCTGCTTTTAATCACCAAACGGCAGTGGAAGGCACAAATATGCTGCCAGGAGGACGGAAAAAAAGGGGGAAACACAGAAAGCTATCTTTGCCACCAATACATTATTAAATTCCTGCCTTTGACATCCTGACAGTAATTGCACTGAATGGGACTGGGTTTTGTTAAAAATGACTTTAAAAGGGGTTGTTGAGAATTTCCTGTGGGATGCAGTGGCAAGCACCAAAGGCTTTCACTCCGTTTTCTCTGCTGTCCTTGTGCTCCCCAAGGGCTTATTGTTCATCCTGCTTTCTGACAGCGTGAAGGGCTGTGTAAACACCCTCTGCCAAGAGAAAGCTCCACCAGATACTGCCATTTGGGTTTGTTTTCCTCTGTCAAGAGGCGAAGATAAATATTCCTACCTGATTCACAGCTGAGCTTTGTTGCAAGTATATTTTTAGCAACCGGCCAAGCCCTCCTGATAGGGGGAACGAAACGCAAATGATTACATGAAATTATATATGGACTTGTGGCATTTTGCTTTCAGCAAAGCAGCCCAAGGAGCTCTCAGGCCCGGACAAGCCCTCACCAAAGATGCAGCTTCTGCACTCGGGAACTTCTTCATCCGTCTTAGCACATGAAATAGTTGCAATTTCAAACACATCTATACGGCCAAACATGAGTCTGGAGGTACTTTTACATCTCTAAGTAAAATGAGGTTTCCTAAGGTTTTTTAATTTTAGGCTTTTCACACATCAGTGCCTCTTAAGCATTTCCACTGAATTCTGGATCCCTGGATTTGTCCAAAAACCAGAGATCAGAGTGCTTTTCTGCCACTCTAAGACTGCAAGCCATGAAGATTTCTGAGTAATATTCATGGAATAATGTAAGCAAATTATATGCAACTTATTTCATCTGAGGTTTTGGGTTTTTTTTTCCATCCTAAGTTATAGAACAGGGTAAGTCATCTCTATTATTCCCTGAATCATGCAGACAAACCCACCGACCTTTTTTTGCAATAAAACAGCCAGGGAACGCTTTTCAGTGTGAAAATGTGAATGATGAAATCATTTGGAGAGACAAACACCAGCCCCGAGTTCTGGCCCAGGTTTGCTCCCCACGCAGCGAATGCAAACACCCACAGATCACCCTGCACATGAAAGTGCTGGTATTTTTACCTGCTTTAAAAATAACAACAAAAACAACAACCACCACCCTGCCATTTCAACCAGGGACAGGATGAATCACTATATTTTTTTCCCCCCACTCTCCAGTAGCTGATTGAGTGGTCTGTTTTTAGAGCGGCCACAGTCGGAAGCCTGAGGTGCTGAAGGACAACTCCTGGGATAATTATTATTCTTTCTCCCTCTCTTGCTCGCAGAGAGCCAGGAATGAATCTGGATCACGCCACCAGAGTTTTTCCTGCCTCCCCACACGGCTCTACATGCTTGGGTTTGCAGAACAGGTCAAGACATCGAATGGGTTAAGCCAGAGAAAATCCTTGCAGATACACTGTCTGTGATTCTGTCAAATTTCATCACTTCAGGCAGAATCAGACCCCCTCATTCACCGTGTGGAAGCCTCCCAAGAAGCAGCTCTGTGTGCTGTGAGCTGAGAACCATCGTGGATGGAGTGGTTGCCTCTGGGGCAAGGATTAATTCGACACCATGGTAGAGCGTGGCAGCGCTCTCAGAGCTGCTTCCTCCCCCTGCTCACTCATACCCCCGATCCTCCAGGGTCTGGGAGCTGTGCTGGTGCTCAGAGACAGCAGGGAGGGAAGAGTGGAGGGCCAAACCTGCAGCATCTGCATGGGAACTCGGGCTCCTCGGGCCCCAAAGCCTCACTGTCCTTCCCACTGCAACAGCCTGTTGAGTCCAGCCTGCGCTTACAGAACAAGCTATTTTTGCACAAAATGTGGGTTTGGAGCCTCTCTGAAAAGGAAAGGAATCGAAGCCAAGCCTGCCAACCCCCTGTAAGTGCCTTGGCCACTACAAATTTTTCAGGGAGAGGAACTGCTGCTGCTGAACTCGGTCCTGCTGTTAAGAGCTAAACATGTTCATCTGCTCCTGGCGTGTTTTCCTCTGCTCATCTCAGAAACCTCATTTCCTTCATCTCTCTCTCTCTAAATACCAGATAGCAATTGATCCCTTAAAGCAACAAACAGGCCTCTTCCTTGTCCACGCCCCAGACTGCGGGGGTTAATAATTTAAAGAGATCAGCAGTCTTGTGGCTGATAGAGAACCTGCAGAATAGACCTGGAGGCTGCTCAAATATTTATATTAGAGTGGTACCTGAAATTTGGCTTGAGATAAAGACCACAGCACTCCTGGGCTCACAGGGGCACACAGCACCTTATCCCTGCTGGATCACAGGGAATATACACAGAGACACAAAAAGCAGGTTTCAGAGCACGTGGAGTTCCACCAAGCCAGCTGCACAGCTCAGCACACAGCTGGGCACAGCTGGAGGAGCTGCCTGCACAGTGATGGCACAGCCCTCCATCCTCCCCACGAGTCAGTGGAGCCAAAGGAAAGGAAGGCCCAGATCCTCAAAAGCATTCAGATGTCTGGCTCCTGCAACCTGCCTACATAACCCTGAAAGGATGGGGCCTACACAACTTGCTCAGCATCAGATGGGAACTGTGTGGGAGCCCAGACTTAACACCAGCTGGCCCAAATTTAGCAAGCAGAGCCTCCTTCTTAGCACAGTGCCCTATAAATACACCTGAGAACAGGAGAGGAGACATTCTGGCTCGGACCAAAGGTTCATGCAGCCCACCATCCTCCTGTCTCCATAGCAGCCAAGAGCACTGAGTGGAGAAAGGCACCACGTGTGACACCTGCACCTGCACTCTCCCAGCCTCTTCCACTTGCTGCTTGCTCAGGAACTTCAGAGGTAGCTACTCCTGATTCATCAGCCCTCCCCAGGCTCCTCTCTGGTGAGTCCTGTTCCCCCTCCTGGAGCCCAGGTGATCTTCTGACTCCCCACACCGCTGTATTTCCACCAGGAAAACAGCAGACACAACCACCCTCTCAAAGGAACAGCAAAAATGATTCACCAGCTCACGCTGGCACAGAGCTTTGAAGAGGCAAAACAACTGCTTTGTGTAGGGAAAGGGTCACCTCCTGGACACGGAGTCAGCAGGTCTCCAGTGTGGCCCACCCGAAGCCACAAACCTGCCAAAGTGCTTTCTGCAGATGCCTTCTCACATCTAAAACACAAGCCATCTGAACAGCCCCACCAAAATGCTCCCAGGAACAAGTTTTCACAAGGAAGCCTCCCTGCAACACAAACAGAACGCCCAAACACCGCTCCCCTGATACAAACTTCCCCCGGGGGAGGAGTTTCTGGGGTTACCTGTGGACCACCCCCGCCCTGTGGAGATGCTCCACCGCCAGGATGAGCTGCCGGATGTATTTGCGCGCCTCGTGCTCCTCCAGCCTCTTCTTCTCGTAGATCTTGTGCATCAGGTTGCCCCCAGGGCACAGCTCCATGACCAGGTAGTAGCTGTTCTCGGTCTCCAGGATATCCAGGAGCTGAGCAATGTTCGGGTGGCGGATCATCTGCTGGATCTGCCCTTCCCGCCGCAGGTTCTTGGTGACATAGGTGTCCTTCTTGGCTCTTTTCTTGTCAATGACTTTCACCGCCACCTAAGGGGGAAAAAAACGAGGGGGGGGAGGTGCTGTTAGCAGTCACATGGGTGATTTATTGCTTTAACCTTGTATAAACAACCTCAAAACAATGAAATTTAAAGGGTGTCCACCTCAGCTGATGCACCGTGGTTTCAAGCACAGCTGCACAAGTCAGAGAAGGAGTTGTTCTTCCAACCCCACTGACCAGGCCTTTCCTTATTGCCCCGTGCAATGACAGTCAAAAATTACAGCCAGGAAATCAGTAACAAAGCAGAGGAGACAATCCCACTATCCACACACAAGCTGGGCATTTATTTTAGCTGTTTACTCCAGAAGGCCTCCAGAAGGCTGGTGTTTACAGGTTTTAAG